AACAGAGCTATTGTAATATACAAACTTTTCAAAACGAAAAAATAAAAATATTGGCCTTTTTTCGAACGGGGGTTAAAAATTTGGGGAATTTTTTTTTTGAAAAAGGGGCCAAATTGGGGCCCCCGGGGGCATAAACCCCCCCCAAAAAACCCCAAGGGCCCCCCCCCTCCCCCTGGGGTCACAACACTCCTCTTGGCGCCCGCAATTGACAAGGGTAACAATGAAAACAAAACAATAACAACAACACCAACAACAAAGCAGACAAAAAGACACAACAGCAAAACAAATGTTCCAAGTTTTTGTGGCCGCTGTTTCACCTTTTTAGTTTTATTCCTTTTTTCATTGCGGGGGGGTTAGAAAACCCACGAAGACGAAGGTTGTGTTGGCTTTCAACAACCTCAGCCCGCACCAACACGGCTTTGTCCGCAGCAAGTCGTGGCTCTCTAATCTTTTGGAAACAGTGCATGAGATCAAATTTAACCATTTTGCCAAACCTGTGACTACTAGTAAATCTTTTACCCCTTTAAACAAGCTTAAAGGCTTTATTCAAGAGTATGATCATATCAAATTTCCTTGCAAATAAATTGAGATAGCATTATAGTCGTTAAAATTTAAGAATTACTTTCTAAATAGCAATGTTATTAATGTGCACCTATATGCCATATATATGTCACAGAGGGGAAATTCCAAGCGAGGTGGGTGTATTCTCAGCAACTCAAAATTTAATAAGTACCTATGAAGCTAAAATAATGGATATTTTCTGGAACTACACAAAATTATTTTTTTAATGAAATTCTCTTTATTGTTTCAAGTTAAGAGGGTACACAAAACAGTGTTACCAGGGCTGTCACTAATTTTTAGAGCAGCCGTAGCAAATAAAGATTCACCCATAACATCTCCCTCAAACTTAGTGTCATCTTTTGCTTCCCATTTTGATCATCCGTAAAATCAAGTGAGCTCAGCTATAACAGGTGTTTCAGGTTACGGCCCTTAATGACAGATCTGGTTGCATCCATCAAGACCAAGGGAGGGAAGGGTTCTTTCATAAATTTTGGATAGGTGTGTTCCACCCTGACCCTATTGAAGGATGAGACAACACCAAAGGGAAAAATTAGCCTAGAACTATGATTAGTAGTTAAGATTTACTGTAGCGCTGCCATTGATTTTCCCATGTGTAATTATGATAATATTTTGTTCCAATTATCTAACTGAGGGAGCCCATTTCTTATAAGCCTGGTGGCTTCTCTTGGGCTTCCTCGCCATGAGAGTTTAAGTAATTAGATTTTATTTGATTTGTACAATTTTTGGCAAACAAAACAATAAACAATAATAAACAATAAAGGATAAGAATTAAATGACGAGACACAAACCTTCATCAAATCGTTTGTTATACTAATTTAGGTACCTAAAGATCACACCATGAACGCATTGCCAACAAGGGCAAAAGTGATATTCTTTTTAAGGATCAAGATATTCAAAAAAATATGCTTTTAGTTGACACATACCTTAATCTAGCCCTGGGGGAATTTCTGGGTGGGGATGTACCGCTGGGACCCTTAACCTATACCAGAGCTAGTTCAGCTGAATTTTGCTACCCTATACTAGAGTAAACTCTCCAAATCCCCCCATCCTAAAGTAGCTGTTTCCCTAGTCTAGATAAAATCTTCAACCAACTGATCAGTTTCCTGAAAAATGATACCCTGTTCTAGACTCAAACGCTCTGATTTATATACCCTATCCTAGAGAAAACTGCTTGAAAACTATACCCTTCACAGCGGCACATATCTATATAGCCCATATATGGCAGTACCGCCCCCCCGGGAATCTGTCCCATCTATTAAAGTACGCTCCCACCCCCCCACCTAGGGCATCAAGAATACTGTGTTTGTCATCAGCTATATATCCATTCAAATATTCGGGTGGCATCTTCTTCATGACTTAGGGTTAGCATCTTCATCTTCCAACAGCAGGATCCGTACCAACACATCTGCAATCCTATTTTGATCTCTCTCATCTCTTTCATCCCTTGGAGCTGTTTCTCCTGAGATTGGCACTAATTCATATTTCCCTTCACAGTCTTTACAACTGTCTAAGATTTCTCTTAATTTGCGGATAAACAGCACCACCTACAACAACAACAATAACACTATTACAAAATAATATTATGGTAAACAAGGCATATCAGGTAAGATGCTGACCATATGATAAAAATTATTGAGGGTGTATGGTCGCTTATAAGACATTTAGCACTTAACAATACCAAAACATTTAGCTGAAGTAATATGAAATGTTTTTTTTTTTTTCATTTTTTATCACATCCTACATAATGTTTAACCTTAACGCTTATATTGTAATGTATAAATATCCTAGATTGGATCAACACGTTAATGCGTTCAAGTTAATGAGTATAGGTGCCTTGTAGAACTTAACAACAGTGAAAAACTGTGAAAAACAAGCTGGTGATTGAAACAAAAGTGGTTGCAGTCGCTTACAAGAGCTTTTCATCACAAATTATAACATACGAACCGTAAAATTCCGAAAATAAGCCCCTCCAAATATAAGCCCCCCAAACCGGTAACGCAAAAAACCCTCCATTAAATCGCCTCTCCAAATATATTAAGCCCCCCAGGGACTTGTACTTGGAAAATTGCCCTCAGATACAAAGTAAAACAAAGCCTAAACAGTTAAGTTACTTCCAACTTTAAGGCTAGCTCAATCCATTTTGAAAAGAAATTTCCCTCCATAGATAGGTCCCTCCAAATATAAGCCCCTCTAAACATAAGCCCCCCAAAAGGGCCATTGAAAAATATAAGCCCCAGGGCTTATTTTCGGAATTTTACGGTAGCTAGAATTTTCACTTAATCAACTCCAGTAGCGTGAACATGGTTCATGTTCCCATCGAGCGTACTGATGATGTCAACAAACTATACCTCGAGTTGTTGTGAGCTTAGCAGCCCTCCCAAGTTGGGAAGACGTCTCCCAAGTCCATCCATAATTCAACAGTACACGATGAAGCGTTTACCATATTGTGTTTTATAAGGTAAATTTAAGAGAAAACTTTTGATTTTGTTAACTAATGGTAGGGAAAAGAGGTTAGTGTTGTTGTTGTCATCATTTCTACAAGCTGTGCGGGTTATGGCGTGTGCAGATCATTTGCAGCATTGTTTATCTCAAAAATAATTTTTCAGTGAATTAATAGTTTTTCGGCACCTCAATTATGGATTTTACAATCTTTTTTGAGAGTTATCAACTTGAGTAAACTTTCTCTCAGTTTCAGGATAAAAATATAACTGTGAGATCAAAACATATAGTCAAGTAGACATTGATGCCTACTGCTTTGAGCGTGTGCTACTATAATAAAATTTTAAGTTAATCAAGCTGCATTGATTGTGCTAGAGTTGCTCTCGGCTGCACCTCGAACAACTCTTATGCCTCTTTCATACTCTGCAAACTTCTTGCATGCTCAATTCAATTCAATTCAATTTTATTATTCACAGTTTATAAATATTTGCTTTATATATAGTAAGGTAGGAATACACTAATAAAGGAGAAGAAGAAGGGAAAAAAAAGAAAATTAATGGCTTGGATAGAACTGTACGGTGGTCAGAGGAGCTTAGCTTTCGAGCTAACCACCGCTATATTATGATGGGAAATACATAATAAATGTGCACTTGGTGCCATGGCAACTATGGACGATTATGCTAGCAGTCATATTATGTCAATATCTTGACATACCGTATTTATTCGAATAAGCGCCCAACTTCGAATTAGCGCCCACCTCGAATAAGCACCCATCCTAAAGGCAGAAAAAGTTAATATAGCGCCCAGCCTCGAATAAGCACCCACCCCCTCCTCCTCCCATCAAACTCAAAAAAGCGCTCACCCCCACCCCACCAACTTGAGTGAATATATTCTAATAAGAGACTTCCCTGAGGACGGAGTTTTCTTCAGAGTATTTTACAGAAACCTTGCTTTGTTAATTCTTCGCATTTTGTTATTGGCATTAATTTTATTGTTATAATTTGTTGCAAAATAGACATACTTCGCTTGTTGAAAATGGTGAAAATTTAATAAGCCCCCAACCTCTAATAAGTGCCCACCTGGAATAAGGGCTCACTCTCAAGGTCCAAAAATTTTAATAAGCGCTCAGGGCGGTTAATCGAATAAATACAGTACATACGCTGATGCATGAACTAATTGTTAAGTTTAAGTCATGGTAGCCTGAATTTCAGACATATCCTCTAGTCACATACTTGGAAATTCAGGCTAAAAAGTCACAGTCCAAATGGCACAATTGCTGGTTGTAACTTAGAGCTGGAAAGTGGTCATGATAAGGAGAGCTTTGACTGTTTATAGGAGCGTTTCAAACAGCACCTTCCATACTCAAGAGGGTTGTTGGTGATAAAAACCTTGGAGTAAGACATTGCGCCATTCCATTTTATATCCACACACCCTATAGGTGGGTGTTATTACTATAAAAGGAAAGACTGAACAGGATAATAACTGGTTAAAATATTTGTATGTTCGGATCAAGTTACCTGTTCATCTCGCTCTTGGCGACTCAGTCCACCTTCTGGATGCCGAGACATATCGTACAGGGACATCAGGGGGGTGGCATACTCCAGAACCACGTGATATTCATCAACCTCTCCATCTGGGCGTGGCATCTCTATTTTGTGTACGGTGTGCTTATAGGATCGCTTCAATATCCCACCTCGGGTAATGTCATATGAATCGAGATTTCCTGCTACCGTTATTCTTGGGTCGGCCTCCTTAATTGTAGCGCAGGTGTAGCAGTTTTTGGGAAGCAATATGAAGAGCTTTTTCTTTGTAATCTTGTACCTGTAGGGCTTTGATATTGCGATCTGTCCCTCAAGATGTGGTAACACCAGTTTCAAGTAACCAAAATAGTAGCTCCAAGCTAGACCATCGGCCACATTTTTGTTTTCTCTCTCGTTGATCTCTGATACTTCCACGCTAGAAAGCTCTCGCAAACCGACAAGAAACAACAGCTGAGGGGCCAGGAAGCAATTCAATGAGGAAAAGATCGCATATTCTGCACGACAGAAAGTGTCACAGTCTAGGTGCAAGGCAAAAGACACTATCAGAAAGGACGCAACGCCCACGACCAGAATACTGCGAGCATGCTTGAAAGCGAAAGTGGAATTGAAAACCTTCGTCCAACTTCCTTCATATCGAGTTTGCCTATGTTGAATCTCTTCAATCCCCAGACAGGCTCTACGCACCACCTCGCCAACGGCTAAACTCAGTGTTAAAAGAGCACTGATAAAGAGCAGAAAGACGAATTCGTCTCTGCCCTGTTGGTTTGCGGTAGAATGGGCGATCTTCAAATGGACAGCTACACAAAAAGTAACCACGAACAAGGCAGCGATAAGCGAGGCTTTTCCACGACGCTCTGAAAGTGGACCGAATCCATTATCATGATTATGTTGCTGACGATCCATTTTTTTTTTCAAGTAAACTGAAAATTTTAAGATGGTTTACTGTGAGTGGGACAAGATGTCTGCTGCTCTGTTTGTCTTCGAATAATAGGTGGACTCTTTGCAGCTTTTTACAGCTCACTTTTCTGACAATTCTGGGAATCCCCAGGTTTCTGTCTGATCAGTGATTGGACGCAAGCTACGTCATCATCCATGATCTTCAAAAAAGTGCTTGAATAAGCAGCTTTCACTTTCAGTTACCGGCCTAATTCCCCATCCATTCGAAAGTTTGGCAGACAAGCGACTTAATAATTTAACAAGAATCGCCAAAAGGCGATTTCAACTGGGCTGCCAATTTTCGTGGCGGAGGGGGGTGGCTACACATTCAGGCCACCAGGCTTGTCGCTGACCATTGCGTCAAGTAGCATCTCATAACTTCCACCATTGAGAATAAAATGAGCAAGTGAGCCATTCTAACTTCGAAAACAAAGACCCCTCTTAGTTTTCGATATTACGAAAAATAAGACCCCCGCAAAACCAATCCGTAAAATATATATGAAGTGGGATTACGACTGTTCGAAGACTATCATCCATAAAACTGCTGAAAACTATCATACGCTAGCTCGATCCGATTCTTCTAATTTCCTGACAAATCAGTAATCAGGCTTACATAAGGCCCGGGGGGGGGGGGTACTCCCATACATTACCTATACGGGTATGTGCCGTCCAACGGGGTTGTGATTTTGAAGCTACTGATTTAGAACGGGGTATCCATTTCAGAGGCGTTTTCTAGAACGGGGTATAAAAAATTGTGGATCACGGCTTTATCTTGTGCTTAAAATTGTTGCTGATTATGAAGAAGCGTTTATTTGATGTATGAGTTGAACAAATAAAGAAATATCTTTTAAAAAAACAGGGCTATTTCAATTTACAAACTTTCTAGAACAGAGTATAAAAAATTGGCCCATTTCTAGAACGGGGTATCAGTTTTAAGGCGAATTCTAAAACGGGGTATAAAAAATTTGCCCATTTCTAGAACGGGGTATCAATTTTAGGGGAATCTTTTTTTAGAACGGGGTGCCAATTTAGAGTCCCGGGCGGCACATACCCACCCAGAAACTACCCAAGTCCCCCCCCCCCGGGACAAATCGACTAAATGCGTATAATTGTACAGTGAAAATATGCCTTACCCTGATTTATCGATAATTTTGGTTCGGTTCAGTACCCAGTTTATCCTTTAAACCGTAAAATCGGCAATCCCCTGTAGATGGATTTTTGTCTTAGTCGCTTGGTAGGCGCTGACATGTCGCTGCGAACCTGATTGCTTTACCTGTCGTGAATATCATCAATATCGCAGACATGGAACTTATTCCGCTGGAATTACAACCCGCCCCAGGAGCCAATCGGCTCCTGCCCACCCACAGCATGTCACGCCGTAAGGCAAGAGAAGCGTGCCTCATAGATAGAGGCAAAACTCCAACCTCGTTCCCAGGGTTCTCTCGCTCCAGGGGGCGGGTAGGAGAGAACCCTGGGAACGAGGTTGGCAAAACTCTGTCACCAGACGGTCTGAATCGAAGGAATGAACATTGAACTGTTTCCATTTTTATTTTTATTGTACAGTGAAACCTGTATTAAGCGGACACCGTATTAAGGGGGACACCCTCTATTAAGCGGACACTAGCCGAAGTCCCCAAATTTATTTCCCTTATTTACTTTAAATGAAACCTTTATTAAGCAGACACCTCTATTAAGCGGACAGTACCTGAAATGGTCATTTCTAAAGGACACTTGTAATTAAAAGGACACTTGTAATTAAATTCCACCACCCAACACACTAGACACCGGAAAGATGAAAGAAAGATGAAAGATTGCCACCCACAAATTTTACGATTTCGCATTAAAAAACATGACTTGGCGAGCTTATTTTATTAGTTTCACAGTGCAGTATTGTTTTCTATTTCGTTTTGTTTGTATAGAGCTTGTTTCACTCGTCTGATTTCTTCAAATTTGAGTTGCAACAGGAGCATGTTTATGGTACTATGATCAATTGGTCCTCTTTGATAAAGAAATTAATGAAAACGTACATCGTCACAGTCTCTGGGAGTATTCTAAACGCTTCCATTGTTCATTTGAATGGCATTTGACACCTCATATGACGTTATCTATCGAAACCTGTATTAGGCGGACACCCTGTATTAACACTAAAGTATTCCTCGAGGGTGTCCGCTTAATACAGGTTTCACTGTATATAATCATTTGCCTGTATATTATTCTATCTAGTATTAATAATTGTAATTAATTATTAACCAATTACGTGAATTTCGGATTCACATTTTAGGAGCTGTTAAAAGGGGTGTTAGGAAAACTCAGACCCCGTGGGTGTCTTGAAAACCGCAGACTCCCCGAAAAACTCATGACCCCTGGGTGTCTCGAAAACTCAGATCCACCGAAAAACTCAGACCCTGACTAACTACGTATCAGAGCGCGAAAAGGGAGGTTGCGTGATACTTGCGCGATGTCACGATATAGCTTATACAATTGAAATGAACAAACAAGTCAGCTGTTTTCAAATATCGATGATCAGCGATGATATCACATAGCGATTAGGGTTTAAAACCGCCGCTAGTTTTTCTGTTTGTTGGATAACGTACGAAAAATTCTCTACAACTTATATTCCCGATGACCTAGAAACATCTGTGTCTTGGACATCATGTTATTGTGCTAAAAAAATATATGTATAAAGACTGTGTATGTGTGTGTGTTACGTCATTACGTCAACGTTTAGACTCGCGCGCTTTATATGCGTGCCCCACGCGCATGATCCCAAAAATGAAAAGGATTCTCGCAGGCTAGTGGCTGTACAATAAATACTACAACAAATATTTAATTTGTTGGACTATGTGTCTATATTCGAGTGCCATTTGTAATGTCCTAGACCAGCCTAGACGGCAAGCGAATTTCACAGAGGTGGGAGAAAGAGGGGGTCGTTAATATGTACAAAACTGTAATCTTTCATTTATGAATTATTAAAACTTTTAACAGAGACTTGCTGCTGAAAAGGGGGATCTTGATATTGTTTGCGTTGGAATCAGTGAAAGGGGTTTCCCTCATTTTCTGTTTGTGACTGTCATTGGCCGCGCGCAACCCGATGAATTTGATTGGAAACACTCACTGGAAAGAGATTTAGAATAAGCTTCATAGCAAACGACAAATGCGAGATTTTCCACAAAAAAGAAAAAAAGAAAAAGAAGCTGAGCAGGTAAAAACTGTCCAAAATAATTTTTGCAGATGCACCTGACCTGAAACTCCTTATTCTTTTGCACATAAATAAATGGTAGATGGCAAGTAAAGGTAATACTTAGTCACAATTTGACGTTTTCCGTTGTTGTAAACGTAATTCTAAGGATGTCTGTAAGGGTAAACCTCTCTAAAGCACCTGGCGCCAAAATTTGAAAATAGGAGTACGGTGAGTCGGCATGAATAATAATAATAATAATAACAGTAATAATAATAATATAATAATAATAATAGAAATAACCAAAAGTTAGGGAGTGCGGGCGACAACGATCGGAGGTCCAAACGCTTTTGCTCCAACGCTGTGCTTTGCGTAAGGTTCACTTGATATAGTGGTCACAACACTCCTCTTGGCGCCCGCAATTGACAAGGGTAACAATGAAAACAAAACAATAACAACGACAACAACAACAAAGCAGACAAAAAGACACAACAGCAAAAGAAGTGTTCCAAGTTTTTGTGGCCGCTGTTTCACTAACAGACAAAGACGAAGGTTGTGTTGGGTTTCAAACCATGCAGTGTCAAATAAAAGTATTAGGCTTTTTGGTTGTTGCTGATGTCGCATTTTGTTCCGATCCATATTTCTTATCCATATCTCTTGCTGAAAATGAAAACTTTGACGTCGTTACAGTTCTCTTTCAAGCAGTCGCAAGTACATGCTGCATCCCCAGCCCATGGAAGTGCGTAATAGTCACTGCCTCACACAAGAAAGGTCAAATTAACGATGCATGCAATTACAGACCTATTTCTCTCACTTGCGTTTTATGTAAAGTATTTGAGAAATTATTTTACAGACATCTCTACACCTACGTGCGTGACAACCTCAGCCCGCACCAACACGGCTTTGTCCGCGGCAAGTCGTTGCTCTCTAATCTTTTGGAAACAGTGCATGAGATCAATACCATTTTAGAGGATGGGGAAGTATACGTAGTAGACCTAGACTACTTGGACTTTCAGAAAACGTTCCATAAAGTTCCACATGAGCGACTCCTGTTGAAGTTAAAAGCACATGGGATAACCGGCCAATGCAACAACATTATTCGAAATTTTATTACTGGTAGAACAATGGCAGTCCGTGTAGGCGATGAATTATCCACATGTACTATCTGGAGTGCCTCGGGGTTCCGTTTTTGGGCCCCTGCTGTTTCTTTTGTTTATTAACGATATGCCTGCTATCACAACGAATATAACCTCGATATTTGCTGACGACTCAAAGCTGATAGGGAACGCACGATCGATCACCTGCAACCACTCAGTCGGACTTACACTGCTTATCCCAATGGGCTGACCTGTGGCAAATGAAATTTAAGGTGGCGAGCAAATGGTTGAAAAGGAAAGAGATCTGGGAGTGGTTGTTTCAGCTGGTGATATCCTTTGTTGGGCGGAACAAGTACGAGCAATTATCGGAAAAGCAAAACAAATGACGTCATGGATCATTAAGAATGTTGTGTCTAGGAAACCAGAAGTGCTAATACCATTTTACAAAGTTTTTGTTGGACCCCATTTGGAATACGCAGTGCAGGTGTGGGCCCCAACCGGAAGACACAGAAACTGGGGTATTATAATAGAAATTGAGGACTGCCAAAGACAGTTCACCAGGATAATTGAGGGCATCGGCCTACTCCCTTCTCGTCAAAGGTTACAGCGTCTCAGATTAACGATTTTACTGGAACGTCGAATGCGTGGTGACTTAATCGAGAGTCTCAAAATAATCAAAGGTTTTGTGAATT